TTTATTTTTAAAAAGAATCTCATAAGGACAATTGTTATCTATAATAGGTGATGGTAATCTATGTATTAGATAAACGGCATGAATAAGAGCGTAGGACCAGAGAAACTTTGGAAGGTTGGCTTGAAAAATAAGGCATTGAGCTACATTCATCATGTGTTGTTGCTTGCGTTCTACCATTACATTTTGTTCAGGAGTGTTTACACAGCTGGTTTGATGATCAATGCCATTTGATTCATAAAAATTTATTTGGTTAAACTCCTGACCATTATCTGTTCGAATAGTTTTAATATTCTTGTTATATTGGTTGTGAACGTAAAATAAGAAATTAGAAATAAGGGTTCTAGCTTCACTCTTATCTTTCATCAGATACAACCAAACATGCCTATTATGATCATCTATAACAGTAAGAAAATACCTATGGCGTGAATAGAAGTTTTATTTATTGGTCCCCTTATTTCCATGTGAATCAAGTCAAAGGTGTTTTCTGCATGGGAAACACTTTGAGGGAACTTCAGCTTTCATTGTTTGCCAAAATGACATTGTTCACAGTTTTATTGTTGTTAAAACTAATATTGTCATAGGTTGTACTAATCTTTCGTAAAACCTTGTCTGAAGGGTTTCCAACTCTTTTATGCCAAAGATGTTGTCCTCGCTCCACGTAATTCGTATTCATTTTCTTTACAGCTTGTAAATGATCTTGTTTGATGTTGGTTCTTTAAGCACGCGATATAGCCTCCCATTCAAGTCAACATGTCCAATCATCCTTGATGACTTTTCATCTTGGATCTGACAACATAAGCGAGAAAAGAAAAGTTTAAAACTAGACATAGTCATGAGTTCTTGTATCTTGTTATATTGGTTGTGAACGTAAAATAAGAAATTAGAAATAAGGGTTCTAGCTTCACTCTTATCTTTCATCAGATACAACCAAACATGCCTATTATGATCATCTATAACAGTAAGAAAATACCTATGGCGTGAATAGAAGTTTTATTTATTGGTCCCCTTATTTCCATGTGAATCAAGTCAAAGGTGTTTTCTGCATGGGAAACACTTTGAGGGAACTTCAGCTTTCATTGTTTGCCAAAATGACATTGTTCACAGTTTTATTGTTGTTAAAACTAATATTGTCATAGGTTGTACTAATCTTTCGTAAAACCTTGTCTGAAGGGTTTCCAACTCTTTTATGCCAAAGATGTTGTCCTCGCTCCACGTAATTCGTATTCATTTTCTTTACAGCTTGTAAATGATCTTGTTTGATGTTGGTTCTTTAAGCACGCGATATAGCCTCCCATTCAAGTCAACATGTCCAATCATCCTTGATGACTTTTCATCTTGGATCTGACAACATAAGCGAGAAAAGAAAAGTTTAAAACTAGACATAGTCATGAGTTCTTGTATCTTGTTATATTGGTTGTGAACGTAAAATAAGAAATTAGAAATAAGGGTTCTAGCTTCACTCTTATCTTTCATCAGATACAACCAAACATGCCTATTATGATCATCTATAACAGTAAGAAAATACCTATGGCGTGAATAGAAGTTTTATTTATTGGTCCCCTTATTTCCATGTGAATCAAGTCAAAGGTGTTTTCTGCATGGGAAACACTTTGAGGGAACTTCAGCTTTCATTGTTTGCCAAAATGACATTGTTCACAGTTTTATTGTTGTTAAAACTAATATTGTCATAGGTTGTACTAATCTTTCGTAAAACCTTGTCTGAAGGGTTTCCAACTCTTTTATGCCAAAGATGTTGTCCTCGCTCCACGTAATTCGTATTCATTTTCTTTACAGCTTGTAAATGATCTTGTTTGATGTTGGTTCTTTAAGCACGCGATATAGCCTCCCATTCAAGTCAACATGTCCAATCATCCTTGATGACTTTTCATCTTGGATCTAACAACATAAGCGAGAAAAGAAAAGTTTAAAACTAGACATAGTCATGAGTTTTTGTGTTAAGATTATATTCAAAGTAAATTTAGGCACATATAATATATTATAGAATGTGAGATTTTCATTCAAAACGACGGTTCCAACGAGATTTGCACTACATTGTGATTATTAAGTAAGGACACATAAGGGTTTGATTTTATAGAAAATAATGTAAGAAGATTTGTTGAAGGTTACTTGATCTGTGGCACTTGTATCCAAGATCCATTTACCTTTCGTGGTATGTGGATTAGTAGACTCATTGAAGTGAAGGTTGATTTGGTTAACCTTTCCCTGAGGGCCAATGCTTTGAATGAGCCTTGTTAATTACTCTATTTGTTCAATAGAAAAAGAGCTAGAAAAAATAATTTTCTTACTATTATCTTGGGTGGATTCTTGATCTTAATGAGTATCAGAATCTCTATTATTTTTCATAATTTTTTCCTCTGTCACGATTTGTTCTCTTTTCTCCTTGCTCTTGATATTTTCCATTTTGCTATCTAATGTTGTTAAGCAAGATCATGTTTACAACTTGTGTGGTTCCACTCAAATTTCGTTCTTGTTGAAGAACCATAGAAAAGACCCTATTAATATTTGGTAATGGATCCATCATAAGGATTTGTGTTCTGACTATGCCAAAAACATCATCATTCCTTTCAAGACAGATATCACGTTCTTTGACTCTCTGTACTTCATGAAAATGGATGCGACGTTGTAGCTGCACTTTGTTTTACAACAACAAGATGGTATGGTCTTAAAGATTCTAATTCTTCCTAAAGGATCTTAAGATCTGTGTAGAATTCAATAACATCACTTCCACCTTGCTTGATGGAGTGTATGTCTTGAATGAGATTAGAGATTCTGAAGTGATCGCCCTTTGAGAACCATTCTTTTAAGTCTTCCCACAAATCCTTGGCGTTATCAATATAGATTGTGCTTTGAGCAATTTGAGGTAAGAGAGTCCAATTTATCCAATAAATGATCATCACGTTGCATCTTTTCCAGGTATCGAAAGTAGTTTTATCTTTTTCAGGTTATTCAATTCCACCATCAATAAACTTGAGCTTGTTCTTAGAAAGCAACACACATTTCATTCTCCTATATGAAGAATGGTAGTTTCTTCCATTCAGAGGAGACGTAACCAGAACTAACGATACTCGAAATAGAAAAGAAACGATTTAGGGTTAGGTTTTAGAAAGTGATTTGATTAGAAATAGAAAACAGAAAAAATATAGGACAACTTATGTGCCACAAATAAGAATATTTGATAAGCCAAGAAGAATCGCCACAAGAATTGGAGAATTCTTGATAAGATCAAAAGATGCAAGGAATAACCCTAGCAGGGCAACAACTCATAAATTGATTCCGAATAATACCTACTTTCAATCTGAATTTCCAAAATGGTTAATATAACTTAAGTTTATGAGTTTGTCTTATTTACAGAAAATAAAGATAAATTAAAATTCTAATATTCCAAACAAAGTTAATTTACCTTGATAATTTAATGAAGACATGATAAACTTGATAATTTAATAAAGACATTATAAGCTTTAAGTTTTGGGTTCAAAACTCCACCGTGTGACTAACAAGACTTCAAGCATTATTGGGTAGGGAGGTCTTATGTGATAATGAAAGCGCACAATGATTAGCAAGGGTGGATCACACAATGTAAGGTTTTGGTATTGGTCGCAGCATCTATATTAATGTATTCTGTTCCTAAATGACGTCAAAATACTTTGGAGAAATATTCCAAAAACTCCTTTTACATGACAATTTTAGCATATTAACATAAAGTTTTTCACTCTATTGGGATGGAGTAAAAATGATGGTGGTGATGCAAATCATCAGGTAAGAGAAAAATGGTGAAAAGCTTTTTCTTATTATACTAACTTATATTCTAGAAAATTAAGTTTACAAACAAATGACGGTGTGATTAACAAGAATGGGTGGTGAAAAAGTAATTCCCACCTTCAAAGCCGATTAAATAGGTTACACGATAATAATTATGGAAATTTTATGAAATTGATAATCTAAAAAGGTATTTTAAAATATTCTAAATGGAATATTGTACAAAAATATTGGTTAAAATTGATTAATTATAAATTAATGAATCTGAAAATTTTAATATAATTTTCATCTGCACAAAAATGCTTCCATTCTATCATTTTAAATTTGTTTAATAACAAATTAATTGTATGAAAAATTACCTAAAATCACATTAATTAATAATTTAGCATAATTACAAATATCTATTATCAAATCAATTAAAAAAATAATCACGATAAATTAATGTACGTTCCCGGTTCTCCATTTTGATAACCTCAGGCTCAACTTGGAAAATTTAATAAATAAATAAAAACATTTTACAAAAGAAAAACTACAATTAAAAAAAAATGGATGCCAGATTTGCCTTTGAATAGAATCTTCCTTTTTTTTTTTTGGAAATTATCAATTTAAAATTTTAACGAATGCACCTGAATCTTTTTTTCATAAATTCCGCATTTAAAATACTATTTTTATTTTCTAAAATATGAGTCACCCCAAAAGACTTTGAAATACTCTTTCAAATTCAAAACTTTCCGCAAACATCATTTCAAATTCTATTTTACCTTGAGTCAATGAAAACTAGCAGGATAATATTACCTTTCTAAACAAAGAAATGCAGATAGAAATTATAGGGTGCAGAAAACAATGACAAGTTAACAGTTAAAAAATAACTGGAATGCCAAAATACCTACTGAACAGAATACCAGCCACAATCTGAATCATTACGCTAATAAGGATGCCATTTCCATATCGATGGTCTAGTCAATGGCTGAAAGCCAGGTGCAATTGCAGGTTAAAACAATCATGATCAGGGTAAAGTTCTCTAGGCACATCATGTGCTGTAATCATTAAAACAAAAATCTGCACAAGGATGGGTGCTATCATCATTCACAGGCTAAAAAAATTACCATCTGACCGACACCGAAAAGAGCAACATTTTCCTACAAGAAAATTGGCCACCTATGGCGAACTATTCAGTGGCCCTAACTACGCCGCTTCTGTACAATACTATGGACAACTCTAATCTACTCTTTCGTTTCCTTAGGAACGGGTGTTGAGGGATGGTCAGCTGGTGTAGCAGCTTCGTCCCGCCCTGGCAAGGTAGTCTGATCCCCTCCTTGGGTTGTAGTTTGGTCCACCCTACCACGGGGTTTCCGAAAATATTTGCTGACGAACGATTCAGCAAGGTCTGGATACTTCTTTCTTATCCAGTTATCCAAGCACTTCCGGTAGGAGAAATCTTCTCTTCGACCATCTTTCAAAACCACATAAAAGCATCTGCTATCCTGAAAACTGCTGTGTCTGTTAACCTGTCGCAAGTAGTACTCCCAACATTAGACACAGGAAAACATAAAGGCAGACAATAGCTTTAAGTTTCAACTTTCGTCGCAACCCATAATCCAAGAATCGATACATGGATCATATATTGCGTGTATGAAAACTGACAGATACACAAGGAAATGGAGAAACCAAAATAAACCAACTCTCAGTGCCAGAACCTGAGATGTTCTGGAAATAAACTGATTTATCTAAAAGTTGATATCAACCATAATTTGATAAATGGGAATGAAAGATTTAATGTAAGCAGAGTTGGATGATACCATGACATAATCAATTCCAGCTCCCATTTTGGTTTCTTTATCTGGGTGGTGCTCAAAGACATTCTCAAGTACAAATAGTTGATCTTCAGCAGCCAGCGGGTCCCCATCATTGTACCTTCAACAGGAAATTATTAAAAAATTAAGATCTAAATGCTCCAGTTTATTATACAAAATACATAACAGAGGGAAACTTCAAGAAAGCACTCAAGGATAGGGTAGAGTACAGAAAACGGGAAGAGAAAAATATACTACTAAAAAATCTTAATAAGGAGCAAAAATCAAAGTAATAAAAGCTATATTTGTAAATCTTGTTCAAACCAAAAACAAGTACCAGAAAAAATTGCGATGAAAAGAGAAAAACAGTTGAGCAGATGCAAAGGTTCAATTGCACCTTGCAATTCAGTGTAGGGATTGTATTATAACAGGAAAGAAAATAATATCATGATTTCTTCTAGCCTGCCAAGTCATTATATTAGAGAGTAGGTATTTACTGCAACGAGTAACTTACCCCTGTTGTTGCATGATTCGTCTGATAGACTGCATAATAGGTTCGATCTCCTTCAGCACACCCTGCTCCTCTGATGAGTATAAGTCCAATCTCTGTCCCGGTGCTCTAGGCGGGCGATTCCTGTTTTTCCAGTCGCCAGTATTTGAACCCCGATTTTGAGAACCTTCAAAGCGATTTTTCTTAAATGATTCTCTACCTTGCTTACCCCACTGAAAACCTTTCTCACTGTCAGAATTAGCTGAAGCAATATGTGATTCCCATCCCCGTGAACTTGAATTTTGATTTGACTGATTATGGGAATCCCATGACTGACTTCCAGAGGAATTGGGTTTTCCCCAAGAGGTATTGCCAACTTTTGATTCAGATTTCCAGTTACCCGAGTTCCAAGAATCCTCTTGGGGCTTTTCCGACCCAGCATCTATTGTTTCAACTTTATTTACTGCCCACTCATTCACTTCAGTTATTGTCTGACCTGTTTTGTTTGCACCCCAAGCACTGGACCAGGAATTCTCTTTCTGGGTAACATCTTTCAATTTAGCTGAACCCCAAGAATCTTCTTGTACATTTTCAGATCCACTAGCTGGTATTTCTGACTTATTCCCTCCCCAGCCAGACCAATCATTAGATTTTGTTTTTGTGTGATCTCTTCTGTTTCCATCCCAAGCACCAGACCCGGGGTTGTCTACTTGGGTAACATCTTTCCTCTTACCAGAGCCCCAATAATCCTGCATATTTTCAGATCCACCAGATGGTATTTCAGACTTATTCTTTCCCCAGCCAGACCATTCATTAGATTTTGTTTTTGTCTGATCTCTTCCGTTTCCACCCCATGAACCAGACCCGGAGTTGACTTCTTGGGTAACATCTTTCCTCTTACCGAAGCCCCAAGAATCTTGCATATTTTCAGATCCACCAGCTGGTATTTCAGAATTATTCTTTTCCCAGCCGGACCATTCATTGGATTTTGTTTTTGTCAGACCTGTTGTGTTTGCACACCAAGCATTGTCTATTTGGGCATCATCTTTCATTTTACCCGAGCCCCAAGAGTCTTCGACATTTTTAGATCCACCAGCTGGTATTTCAGACTTATTACTTCCCCAGGCAGACCATTCAGTAGACTTAGTATTTGTCTGAACTGTTGTGTTTGTCTCCCAAGCATTAGAGTTACGAGAGTCTTTTTGGGTAACATCTTTCATTTTACTCGAACCCCAAGAATCTTTAACATTTTCAGATCCACCAGCTGGTATTTCAGACTTATTACTTCCCCAGGCAGACCATTCATTAAATTTAATTTTTGCCTGATCTGCGGTGTTTCTATCCCAAGCATTAGACTTGGAAGTGTCGTCTTGTATGACAGCTTTCCCCCAAGAACTCTCTTGAGCACTTTCAGATCCTCCTACATTTATTTCAGCTTTGTTACTTACCCAACCGGACCACTCGTTGGTTTTTGATTTGGTCTGATCTGAATTTAAATCCCAACCATTGGTTGTTGAATCATTCTGTACTTCAGGATTCTCTTCAAAGACGGCCTCAAAACCAGAGTTACGTGGTGGGGACATGTCCAAATCCATATATTCTTCTTCTAGCAAATCGTCAATATCTTCACCCAAACAAGCATCAGTTTCTTCTTCCCCATTGGTAAGGCCTTTCACCATATGAAGAAAACTGTAAACATCCATCCCTTCAATTTCACTTGATTTTATCTGAAAAAAAAGAAGTCAATATTCAAATAATATTTACCCAGAACTCCAATTGTTAGATTTCAGTATTATTGAAAACAAACTTCAGAGAAAAGAAACTTCTTATTTATTATTCTGAGATTTGCACAAGAAGCTTCTGTTTGCAGCAGCTACATATAGTTAAATCTGAGTATGATCAAAATACCTTATCTGCATCCCAAACAACATCAAATTTTGATCCTGTACCAACTGCCACGGGTTTACCCCAGGAACAGGATGCAACTATGCTTGACAGAGAGTCAGTATGACATTTCTCAGCGGCTCGCTCAAAACACTTTTTAGGTGTCTGCATAGTGACATTTACTAAGTAAGAAATAATAATAACTTGATATATCTCATGATTACTACAATTAGCAAGGGTAGCAACTTACAAAGAGTGTTGCATCTGTGAATGGTACTTGAATATTTAATTGTCTTGACAGGGCTTTGTATCCACTTGTATTAAACCCAACCAAGTTCCCGCCACATGTCATACTACTAGCTAACAAAATTAGATGCTCTCTAAGAACACCTTTCGCCACCATTTTCACAGATGCTGCAACACGCTGCAGGCACGCACAAAAGGATAAGATAGGTATAGAAGATAGACTAAAAGAATGGGAGGCTACTAAAAATTGGATAATGATCAAAGCTTTCATCAACCAAGTGCAAAAATGTACACACAAGAGGAGAAAAAATTGCATATCACCATAAACTTAACAATTTAGTTTGATTCTCAACTGATTGTTTTCCTTACTATTAGAGTTAAATACGATATAATAAAATTCGACTTTGTTTGGTATGCTTTCTGTTTTGGGCATTGGGACCTCAGTTTTAGATGCAGTCCATTTAATGTTGTCAGCTAGCGGTCATCTATATGTAGATGATCCCATTCATTGCAATTGATTTATCATTAATAGTTTCTATTTTCTGGATATAGGCTTTTAGTTTCTAAAGCAAAATTTATACAGAATGTGATCTGGGCTGTCAGTGCTAAAACAATTCTAGACACCAAATTCCGAAAAAAGAACTAACCCCCATCATTTGTTATTAGGCCAACAGCAAACCACCAAAACTAAAAAGAGATCTCTTCTCAGTGTGTCGACACCTGACCTGACCAAAGAAAATACCTCAAGATCTGGCTCCATAGAGATAGAGGCAAAAGAAACAGTTCCAAATGTCTAAGTACTTAGAAACCCCCACCACCCCCCCCCTCCAATAAAAATACATAGTAATAAAAAGTGATGAAACATACTAAAGACAAGATAAGAGGGAAAAAAAAACTAATCATAACTCAGTACAGCTCACCTGAATCGTTTGATCAAAAGTACATGATATCCCCAGTAATTCTTGAGTCTGCTTGATAGCATAAGGGATGGAACGCCTGGTATCAATCAAATGAAAAACAGGAAGGCAGGAATCAAGTACAATCCTCCAAGCATCCCCACTCTGTTTCACTACTTCCTTCTCAAGAATAATATCCAGCGCCAATTCACCACTGGAAGATTTATAAGGGTTTCGGACCCATGTGTTCGTATCCGGACTAACCCATATTATACTTGCAGAGCTAATCCGTGGGTCTCCTATTTATTAATAGAAGGGTAAATCAGAAACATTACTAAAAAAGAAAAATATGTACCTAATGTATGCATTCAACATTATGAATGCAACAAAATATATGCAGACCACATCTAACAAATGATGGCCATAATATGAACAACACATAAACATTTGAGGCAAATCACACATGAAAAGAAAAATATGAATCTCTAGATTGTGAAACATTAGCATGTGGAAACGATAGAAATGCCTAATGCATTTAAATGTGGGATAAGGTCCTCTAGCAACTAATTTGTTCTTTCTTTGAAAACAAATGGATATCTGAGAGTACCTAGCCAGTAGTAATTAAAGTGCCTGAAGAGAATGGTTAAAAATTTACGAGAGCTATCTGCCAAGAACACCACTATGGTTTCATGATTCAGGGAGATTACTAGTTGCATAAGTTATTTATTTGAAATGGGCCAATTGGTATAAAATTATGGTGTTCGATATTCTGTTTCTGGTTTGCTACTTGTAATAACCATAGGCTTAGCAAGCTTAACCAAGAGAAAGAATATTAGTTTATTAAGCCTTGGAGCCTTCATTAAGTAGAGGATTTAGTATTGTATCAATAATTAGAATAAAGACTACTGGAACATTAAGTTAGTGAACTGTGGCACATGTTAGTCCAATTCTAGTATTCTTTTTCTCTTTTCCACCCTCCCCACAAAGCCATAGATATAGATTTAATGATGATGAAATTATAATACTTCAATTCCACCAAAGAAATGCTTTTAAGGAAAATACCTTGGATTATTGTTTCTAACAGAACAGGACAGATATTTTCAGACAGGACCTTTACAGTCTCATCAAAATCATTATCATGATTGTCAGCCAAAATGAATGTTAAACATGGAGCAGCTGGATGAGAAGATGAGCAACACTCACTGCCAAGATGGAACACAGATCAGAAATTGATACAGATTAACAGATAAACTATAACAGTCCAAAAACAAAGCATTTGATTACAATGATAAATAAAGGCAGTGACATACAAAATCTTTTATCTTCCATTTCTTCCCTTATTTAGATCACCAACCTCGTGGAAATGTGCATGACAAAAATACAACATATTCTACAGAATGTATATTCATAATTAGTAAAATTTTCAACATTCTGAATTGGAGTTTTAAGAAAAAAACTATAAAAAAAAGCAGGTACATGCAAGGTACCATCATATACTAGTATAACAGAAGTAGAATTAAGGAAACAAATTTGAAAGCAAGAAATTTATTGACTGTTCCCTGTATTGGAAGCAATACTCCTTGAGTGTAAAAAGGTTCATTTATACAAGCTAAGGGAAATCGAAAGCCCTGACACTTCAGAAACTATTCAATAACTGCGCCACTTTATATCAAATCCTCCATCATATTAATTTCTCCCTTAAACCTTGGTAACTAACCTAGGTAAAAATTTAGCCTAGGTCATTAAAAGGAGAATAATATATTAAAAAAAATACAAAGCACTATAGTTTTTAACATCTATATATTTTCAGTTTACCATTTATACCAGCCTAATTTTACAAGGAAAATGTATTTTTAAAAATGGATAAATATTACTCTACTCTACCATTCATTGCAAGCAACATTACTTCAAGGAAGGATAAATATTTAAAAATGGATGACCAAATATCAAATGCAAAAGAAAAGAACTGAGGATAAACCTAAACAACAATTTAGTCTTCTTCAAATTTTGATTAGCTTTCTTTCTCCGACTAAAGGAATCTAATCTTTCCCAGCATTTTTGGAAAACATTGGCCATGCTGATCTTCATCTCCTCTAACATCATCTGTTCAAAAGAATAACGTTAGCTATTAAAAACATAATAAAACAATAATAGTAATTATAATTATCAATATATGAATAACTAAAAAACACGGTATTCTTAAGTAAAACTAGAGGCATGCAAAAATGTTCAATCTTGTTTATTTGTTAAGTTTTGTTAAAATACAGAGTTTTGGGTAGAGGGAGACGATAGAGAGAAAAATGACAGAAAGAAGAAAGAAATTGATATAGACCTGACATTATATGATGTGTTACAATATAATGATAATGTGTTCATAAACCCTAAAGCACAAGTCTTGTACATACTAATCAATCATAAGGAAAAAAGACACGAGATATTCGGATGGAATGTAAGCATATAGTTCTAAGAGATAATTTCTATGATGAACACAAGTATTATAAGATACAATCTAGATATAGTTGGATACTCTAGATAGTTGTAAGACACTCTAAGAAACAATCCTTATTTTAGTGCACATTTTCATATATTCTAACAAGTTTCATATAATGAAGGAAAATTTTCAGCGTCGTTCTCATTAATGTAGGAAGACACGTGTAAATATGCTCAAATTGATTGGAAAGGAAATGGAATAACCTCATCAAGATAAATATGACCAACAAGACCGGCATCAGTTTCAGAATTTCCCTTTTGAACTCGCTGTTCTTGGTATCTGCATATAAGAAACAGGATGCCATAAAATTCAACTAGACCCATCTTCCAATAATGGGTCTGTTTGTTTGTGCTAAAGTAAAAGTGATTGGTAAAAGGTGATTCTTTATATATACAGAAATAGATATGTTTGTTTACAGTAAAAAAAACAAGTACCATTTTAATTAAAAGCACTTTCTCTCTCTTCAACCACATCTGTTTTTTATGTGAAGCAACTCCAATTGCTTCTCAAAAAAGGCAGAAAACTGTTTTTTTCTACCCAAACATGTTAAAAATCATAATAAGTGATTAATTTATTAAAAAAAACAAAAAATTTTAAACAAACAGACCCAATATAAAATAGGCTTAAATAAGTTTTTAGTCCACTTAAATTGTGAATTTTGATTTTTGTCACAACAAAAAACTATTGTTTTTCATCCTTATAAAATATGTGAATTTTGGTTAAAATTTCAATAAACATTTTTCTTTGATTTTCACACCTCAAAATTTTCAAATTACTATTTTTGGACCCTAATATTCATTTTAAGATTGATAAATAACTTAATTTATGGATCTTCAGAGTTTTTTGAGGTTTCAAATGTTGGCATGATATCACAACACTATCATATATCACTTGGAATGGTCGCTTGGTCTTTTTGTGTAACACATAAGCACTTAACTAGTCTCATAAAATACTAGGTAACAACAGTATGATTTTAAATTTTAGACGGACCAAAATCAGACTAACCCAATTTTAAGGAACTAAAAACATATTTAAACCTATAAAATATCACAACTTACACAAATAATACCAAGACTATAGCTTACCCCAAAAAAATCATTAGTGGTGAACAATAGATAAATAAAAACTGCATACTTGAAATATTTTTAAACTAAAGCAGGTGTAGAATAAAGTTAAAAAGGTAGGCTTAAGGACTTGTTTCATCCCACTATTTCTTGACTTTTTTTCAATCTCATCCCATTATTATTTTCAATGTCAATTTGATCTCACTTTCTTTTTTCAAAATGAGTCAATACACTCCCTACGGTGAATATCGTTAAGTTGTCTAAAAGAAAAGTATAATGTGACACTAAAATGACCATATTATGTTTCATTGTTAACATTAACGTAACATTCATGTGTATGTTTCATTTATGCCAACATGGCATATTATTAGTGGTGGCATATATGTCGATATCACATCAACAAGCATGGTCAAGTCAATACCACATCAACAAACCTAGCCATGCCAATGTCACGTCAACACACATGGTCACATCAATGTCACGTTGCATTTTTCAATTAGAAAACTTATCAGTATTGACAAAAGAATTACATCGACTCATTTTCAAAACAAGAGACCAAATTGACACCGAAAATAATAGCAAGACAATTAAAAAAAGTCAATGAATAATGGGACAAAGATTACTCATTAAGCCTAAAAGGTATAACATTGAAAGATAAACTTACTCAATAACGAACTCCACTGCTACATCCTTAAGACTGACTTTTTTCAATTGATCTTTAACTTTATATGCCGCATTTTCCCGACAATAACTCCCTCCACAGTCACAGTCATTCAAGTACAAAATAACACGCCTATCAACAGGTTCATTCCTAAAATTGACCTTGCAGAGTAATATTTCCTAAAGACAAAATGCATAAATAAATAAAAAATCAGGGGAAAATCATTTATTGAGATATTAAAAGCAGATTATCTTCATTGCTACAAGGAAATGTTTACCTTCATCAACTCCCATGAGGAATTGCTATTAGGACTAGCATCAAGGACGGCCTTGTAAGCAGGATTTGACATAGCAGTTGCAGCTAATACACCTACAGGCTCACCAGCAGGAAATAGGTGCTCAGTTTTTTCTAATCCATATTCAAACTGGATAATAGAATTACTGCAAATATTTCTGACAGTTCCATCATAACAGATAACAACATCCCGCAGGATGGCCATCAAGTTCTTAAAGAGTGTTCCTGGTTCAGATAATCCCCTCGAAGAACGAACCATTATTTCCCTTGTTGAAATCGAATGCACCATCTCTTCATATGGATCCAAACCATTAAAAAAGGACCCTTTGAGCAATCCATACTCAGCAGAGGGATAACCATCTCCCTCATAACAACACTTCACATGAAAATGAGATGCTACATCTTCTACCAATCCTTTTGAATAGAATCTTCCCCTGTCAAAAAGTTGCTGCCCTAAGAACCCAATCTGCTGAACAACCTTATCAATTGCTGATTTACTCTTTGAATCAATTAAATCTCCTAGTTTAGTTGACTTTAGAGCAAAATTAATAATAGGAAGTTCAATATCGCGAATAAGCTTCTCCAATTGCTGCGCCACGAGCTCATTGTATATGGACCTAAGCTGATACAAGACAGAAGAAACTTTACCAATGTTTCTGTTTATAATTCTTTTGATCGCCCTGGATATTGAATAATCTTGCAGGCTAACACTAAATCCATCGGCGAATAAGCTTTCCATCAAAAATGGCTGCAATACATCAAAGAACTTTAGTGCCTCCTTTGGACCCTTGCTAAAGAAAATTGAGGCTGCTATTTCATTTATTGTTGCAGGCAAGACATCCCGGTTGAAATCAAATTCTAAGATTTCACTCTGCCTAATCAAATACCGTCCCCCAGAGCAATCAAAACCTAGAGGTAGAGCACACTGTAACATTTGGATGGAAGTCCAATAAGAATCACCAGAACTGGCCTTGATCAAACTAGGTCGAGGCAAAGGTAAAAGAAACATTGCCAATTGATTAGCTGCCTCTCTATCAAAAAAACATCTCTTGACCAACATCTTCAGTGACAACAACGAATCTGTTGTTAATTGTAGATTCAAATTACCACTGTGAGAGCTGAGCAGCTGATTCTCCACAGAAAATAGCTCCACAACTTCTGCTTTGGCACCAAGTGATTGCGGATAAAACAGATGGACACAGTCACCATCAAAATCAGCCCCAAGTGGTCCACAAATTAAAGGATTTATTTTCACGGTGTGGTCATCATGGATGTACACAAAAAGTGCCTGTAAAGAGTGTTTGTGTGTTGTAGGTGGCCTGTTAATGAAGACAATATCCCCATCCATAATCCTCCGATGCACTATCTGACCAGGCTTCAGATATATGTGACCCTTTGAACCCTCCCTGAGTGAAAAAGTTGAGGCACCTTCCTTGTAGGTCAGGCACAAATTTTCATCAACTAATTTCTGTAAATAACTTATGTTATGGATGTTAACTCTCTCCTCAAAAGTTACTCGTTGGGCAACTTCAACAGGAATTCCTACTTCATTTATCCTTTTATAACAATCTCCAGTTATCACATTCCGGGAGGAAAACCCTGATCCCTTTCTTATAAATAAAGTCCGCATTTTGTCTAGCCATGCTTTTGTTGATGATGCATTAAGCTCTTTATTTACCCCAAAATGTGTTTCTATATCACGTGCTGCCTTAGAAGTTCCCCTAATTTGAAAATACTGGTCAACCACTGACTGCAAATCATTTGCTTCGACATGATGAGACTCAAAATTTGGTTCTCCAGATCTAGAACTTTTGATGATTTCAACCTTCCTGAGCAATTTTCTGAGAATTGTCATAGAAGGATCCTACAAAGCAACAATTGCATCACATATTAATGCACTATGGCCAAGACAATCCAGCTCATAAAACCAAGATACTCAGGCGAGAAAATCAAAGAGTGTTTCAATACTATGTGAAATTTAATTTACATAATGAACTCTGAATGGAGTTTTCACATTTAAGCATGTAATAATGGTTCAGAATTTTAAAGTAAAGCAATTATCAAGTCTGGTTTAAAAGCCCAAGGCAGTTTATCTATTCTAGCAAATTATGATCATAAAATTAACTATTACAAAAAATAGAATTGAGCATAATAAAAAGAACAGTAACTAGAGAGAAGTTTACTGATAAAATAATATGTTCATTTTCTCACCGAAGACATGACACTGATGCCGTCCGAAACTTCTGGCACGGACAAGCAATTAGGTGGCACTGGAAGATACTTCAAAACATATCCATCTTGTGGAAAATACCCTTTTCCAGCAAGTTTTTTTCTGGTTTCTACTGGAATTCTCTTAATAATTTCCATTGCCTGAGAGATTTAAAATCTAAATATTAACTAAAAGGTAAATACCCAATTTCAACAGACAGAGATAATGTATTAAAATATTTAAAATAAATAGCACACAGCAATTAGCCTGAAACAATCAATTACAGACCTTTCTTGCCAGTCAAAAGCATTTCAAGAGTCTAATTCAAACATTTAGAAAATGCAAATCTCAAATGTGGTATAATGAAGAAAATACAATTTTGAAGATAAAAATTTAACAAAATACAAATCATTATATATGGAAAATCCTTTAACATCAAAATATGATGGCTGGGGCAGTGGATAATGCCAAATCCAACAATTTCTCACTTTGAAGAATGTCTATTTATATACTGCTGTGTGATATTTTAAAGACATATCATCTAGTACCAGAAGAATAAGAGAGAAAACATATTGTTAGAATAGTTATTAAATCTATGTGTAATCATTAAGTCAGAGTAGGGGTAGTGTGTTGGAAACACCTACCAACTGTCCTACTGTTCTACCTAGTTTTGTACCTAAGTGTCTATGCTTTCTTGTATCAGATTTTTCATTATAAATAGAAGATGATTAAGAGGGGTAATCAAGCCCTCCAAACTATATTTTCCTGTTTCTTAATGTTAAGTTGGTATGAGAGTGGGTTGATCATGCTCTACCTGTCTCAGTCATCTCAGGAGCCACCGTCCGCTGCCATTCGTCACTATTCGCCGCCGTCCACCGCCGTCTGCCGTCACAGTTTCGTCAAGCGACCACCGGATCTGAATTGCCTCTCCAAGCGACGGTCAACCCTGCCGGTCTCGAAAGCTAGTTCCTTTGTCACGCGCCTAGTCAAAATCGGCACATTCAAGAGCGTGTCACCCACGCGCCGCCTTCTCCGCGTTTGAATGTTGTCGCGCCGCCTTCGTGGGTATTGCCAAAGTCTTCCCTTCTTGTTCTGACACTCAACTCATTTTGGCGAAGTTCAAAAGCCAACCTAGCGAAGGTCACCTTAGGGCCCTCTCTACCCTAGTTATTTTCTGGCTCTCTATCACCAGAAATGGCTATCGGAGCTGTTGTTCCATTCTCTGGAAGTCCTTCCATTACTTTTGTTAAGGTTCCAACATAAAACCAATTGGCAATATGTGGAGTAGCCTAACATGTATTTAAACCATACCAAATGATATGAGGTAGGCGATGTGGGACTTTCAACACACCCCCTCCAACGAAGCCTGCCGGACCAGGCAAAGGGTACTTTTGACCCAACTAAAGGGCAACTTTTGGCCCATGACAATAACCGGAAAGATGTTAGGCTTTGGCTCTGATACCATGTTAAGGTTCCAACATAAAACCAATTGGCAATATGTGGAGTAGCCTAACATGTATTTAAACCATACCAAATGATATGAGGTAGGCGATGTGGGACTTTCAACAACTTTCAAGAAACTAAATGAAAAAGATTACCTTTCGTGGGTTGCATCTTTCAAAATATGGTTCCTTGGCCAAGGTCATCATGACCACCTTGAGAAAGATGGAAGTCATGTCCCCCCTGAAAAGACTGATCAGTGGAAGCAAGTTGATTTTCAATTGCGTGCCCTGCTATGGCAAACTGTGGAATCAAGGCTTTTGATTTCCCTTAGAGCAATTTAAAACTTGCCACTTTTTTTGGAAGAAAGCTCAAGACATTTATGCAAATGATATTCAACGCCTCTATGATTCTGTCAACAAACTTGCATCACTCAAACAAACTAGCAATGATATGGTATTCTTCATGACCAAAGCGCAATCTGCATTTGAAGAGCTAAAGATGTTCTTAGAAGTAGAATCTTTGGATGAAATCAAGAAGAAACTTGATAAATATTATATGGTGATAATCCTCCATGCTTTACACCCAGACTTTGATCATCTCTGAGATCAGCTTCTTACTAGTCATGAGGTCCCTTCCATGGATAGCTTGATCACATGCCTCCTTCGAGTCCCAACGCCTCAAAGTAAGGAAGTTCATGAACCCATAGAATCATCTATCATGGTTGCCACACAAGGAAGAGGAGGATGTGGTGGCCAAGGGCGTCCTCAGTGTACCTACTATAAAAGGATGGGTCACACCCAAGAAAGCTGCTTCTTCTTGCATGGTTTTCTTGTCAAGACAGTCAATGTCTTTAAGGCAGAAACTGTCAACTCTAGATTCATTTAGAAAATATAAAGAGTATGTTAGGTTAAAATCTAACTTGGCACAAACATATGAAACTCCAAGTACATCAACAGGTTGTATTTCCCAATCCATGGAAGCCAAAATTCATGGATAATTGATTCAGGTGCTTCTAATCACATCTCCGATAATACCTCTTTGTTTTCATCCCTTTCTTTTCCAGAAAAACATCATTTCATAACCCTGGCAAATGGTTCTAAAGTTTCCTCAAAGGGAGTCGGTCAAGTCTCCTTATCTCCTTCCCTAAATCTAAAATTTGTCTTCTTTGTCCCTAATTGTCCCTTCAATTAAATTTCATTAAGTCAGTTAACCAAAACGTTAAATTGTTCAATAACCTTTCATAAGAAGTCTTTTATTAAACAGCACGTTAAATTGTTCAATAACCTTTCATAAGAAGTCTTTTATTAAACAGCAGTGTGGTTCGGGGAGATGAATTAGAGAAGGATATGAAGCTAGATGTTTATACCATTTTGGATCTAGTCCCTATGTTTCATGTGTTACAGCCCCAAGTCCTAAATTGTTACATGAACGGGTAGGTCATCCTCATTTGTCAAAGTTAAAAAAATGGTCTCCGAGCTTAGTAGTCTCCAGATCTTAGAATGTGAATCTTGTCAATTAGGAAAACATGTTAGATCTACCTTTCCTAAAAGGTCTGAAATAAAGTGTAATTTTAGTTTCTCTATTATCCACTCTGATATTTGGGGATCCAATCGCGTCTCTTCTTTTGGTTTTAAAATATTGTCACATTCATTGATGAATACTCAAGATGCACTAGGGTTTACCTTATTAATGACCGTACTGAATTGTTGTCTATCTTCACATCCTTTTTTAATGAAATCAAGAATCAATTCAGTCAAATAATCAAAATTTTGAGAAGTGATAATGCCAAAGAGTATTTTTCATCCAATTTTTCTGCAGCCTTGAGTTTGCATGGTATATTACATCAGTCCACTTGTCCTCACACACCACAGCAAAATGGTATAGCAAAAAGGAAGAATAGACACTTAGTTGAGACTACTCGTATCCTATTGCTTGGTGCAAATATTCTTGTCCATCATTAGGGGATGTCATCTTAACTACATGTTTTCTTATTAAGAGGATGTCATCCTCCTCTCTCAATAATAAGGTCCCTTTCTCCATGCTTCTTCCAAATAATTCTCTCTTTCACATTTCTCCCCGTGTGTTTGATTGTGTATTTTTGTTCATGACATGTCTCCAGAATTGGACAAGTTGTCTGCTCATGCAATCAAATGTGTCTTCTTGGACTATTTTCGACTTCAAAAGGGATACCGATGTTACTCTCCTAAAACTAAGAAGTACTATATGTCCGCTAATGTAATATTCTTTGAACAAACTCCTTATTTTTCTTCATCTGTTCAAGATATGCATGTTATTCAGCAGGTCCTCCCGATACCATCAGTCAAGTCCACTACTTCCAATATCTCTGCTAATCCTAGTGTTGGTCACAGTCCTCTTGCTATTATATCCATGAGACCCAAATAACTAGTCCAGTTATTCAAGAACTAGGTGCATCCTCTACTTCAAATTCTTCTCCATCGTCACCCAATACCACAACTCTTGATGAAGAATATTCAGGCTAGCCCATTGTTCTTAAAAAAGGTACTCGTTCCACTCAAAACCCACATCCTACTAATAATTTTCTTAATTATCATCGATTATCGCCTTCCTATTGTTCTTTTCTATCCTCAGTGAAGCAGATCATTCAGTTTTTTTATTGTAATACCCATCTTAAGAAATGTATTTACCTGATAGTCAATATTGATGATATAGTCATTACAGGAAATTATGTGACCGGAATATCTCAATTGAAAGAGTACTTGTGCAAACATTTTCAAACCAAGGATCTTAGGAGTCTTAAATATTTTTTGTACATTAAGGTAACTTAGTCAAAATATGGGGTTGTTATCTCTCAGAGGAAGTACACTCTTGATATCCTACAAGAGACAGGTATGTTTTACTTTAGGCCAATAGATAGTCTTATGGATGAAAATAAAAAACTAATGACGAAAGAAGGTGAATCATTCCCTAATCCAAAAAGATATAGACGGTTAGTTGGAAAGCTAATTTATCTTAGTATTATGAGACCTGATCTATCTTTTGCAGTAAGAGTGGTTAGTCAGTTTATGCAGGCCCCATGTATTGGCCATTAGAATGCTATCATTCGTATTCTATGATACCTCAAAAAGGCTCCAGGACAAGGTTTGTTATTTGAAGATAAAGGAAACGTCCAAGTCTCTGGATACTATGATGCTGATTGGGTAGGCTCCCCAACTGATAGACGTTCTACTACGGGATATTATGTTTTCCTTGGAGGAAATATTATCTCATAGAAAAGTAAGAAGCAAAATGTAGTGGCCAGATCAACTGCTGAAGCTAAATACAGGCAATGACGTCTCTTACTTGTGAACTTATATGGGTAAAACAATTCCTTTAAAAGCTTTTGTGAAGTCCAGATCATGAAAATGTATTGTGATAACCAAGTTGCTATCCCCATCACGTCAAATCCAGTATTTCATGAAAGAACCAAACATATAGAAATTGACTGTCATTTTGATCGGGAAAAATTATTGTCCAAAGAAATTTGTATTGAGTTTGTTGGATCAAATAACCAACTTGCAAATATGTTGACCAAGTCCTTAAGAGGACCTCGGATTGAGTTCATTTGTTCCAAGCTTGGTACATACAATTTGTATACTCTAGCTTGAGAGAGAGTGTTAGAATAGTTATTAAGTCTATGTGTAATCATTAAGTCAAAGTAGGAGGTAGTGTGTTGGAAACACCTACCAGGTGTCCAACTGTTGTACCTAGTTTTGTATCTAGGTGTCTATGCTCTCTTGTATCAGATTTTTCATTATAAATAGAAGATGATTAAGAGGGGTAATCAAGCCCTCCAAACTATATTTTCCTGTTTCTTAACGTTAAATCATATAAAGGCCTAAAAATGGAGTAAGTATATAATATATGTATATTGAAAAAAAAAATCATGAATTGACGTGTCAACATATATACAACAAGTAAAAGAAACAACCATTTGAGCAGTAAAGTAACAAAATTAGAAACCAACCTCACAAGGAAGTAAGGCTCGAGTGTGATCACCCTCATAGCGATAGCCATATTTTTCTAAAAATCTCCAAAAACCACCATCAAGCTTCTTCGATTTAGGTACCTTGAGTGCCAAATAACTAGCCCCTTCACTCGATTTAACCTCCCGTATAGAAACTTGAGCAGCATTACCCTCCTAAAGATTAAAAATAAATCCCATGATGTTAGGAACCAAGAATTAAACAGAAAAAGAAAAGAAAGTTTTTTTTATTGAATAGAATGAAAAGAACAAGAAATAGGAAAAGACTCTCCTCTAAGGGTTTCCCCCTCATAAAGGATTTCTCCTTTTACAAAGAGTTAATGCTCAATTTACAAAAAAAATATGAACTCCCTTCTCCTATCCTTCACACCCTATTTATATCTAAACAACACCTTATGCAACTAACTAACTCATTAATATGCTAACTATCTTACTAACTTCTCCTTTCCCCTTATACCCTAACACATGAAACTTGGAAATGAATTTTTACAAAGACAACAGATTCCCATCCACAACAAAATAGCATCAATAGTAAAACCAAATTTAGCCAACTGTGATAAGAAAAATCTAATTGAAGCATTAAATGTGAACCAAGATGATTAGAAGCAAACTAAAACAGAGGATAATGTACAGATATATATGTAAACATGGAAAAGTAGAGGGAAAAAAGAAAAACAAAACAAAGCACAACAGAAAACAAAAAAGAAAAAGAGTCCAGTCTCCTTAAATGTTCTTCAGATGAGAACATAAAATAAAGTAAACAAGTTATACAAGTAACATATGAGATCATGACATAGATCATAAATTCTACCTAGAATAAAATATATACAAACACATAAAAATTAGAATAATATATATACAAAACATATATGGAAGAATGAATAAGAAACAATACTAAAAACTATTTCAGGATTGTATATCTGTATACATATTGAGAAATGATATAGTATGATTTGTTCATACTAACCTGGCAACAAGGAGATAATAATCTCTGTGCCAAACCACTGCTTGATGCCGAAAACTGAAAGTTTGTGAGCCAGAAAGATCAAGTACACACAATGGTATTAGATAAAGTTTGAATCCTTACAAAATAGATTGTCAAGAAAATTAACAAGTCTCATTCAGCAGACTTATCTTCAAAATAAAAGGTTGAGAATGAGAAAAAAAACATGTCAAACAACAAAACTGTTTAACTAAATTAAATGTTTACTTTTTTGTGATACAATAAAGTAAGATATTTACCCCTATAGACACTGGTTTGGTTCTGAGAATAATTGGACATTATTTGAGTAAATTAAGCGGTAGTACTAGGGGCAGCTTGAGTTGGAGTAGATTGAAGATTCATAAGAGGAAGATTGAGTGAAACAGTTTTTCATTGGATTGCATGAATTTCTCAGTCTGAACTTCTTCAGCAACTAACAGAGATTCAATCTCATCAAATGAGAAGAGATTAGGCTTGTTGATTGTGAGAGAGAAGCAATCAGTTAACTCTAGCTAGGAGAGAGGCACAGATAGATTATTGCAACCACAAAAAGTAGCAACTGATCTTGAGCTTCCCAGACATGAAACTATGAATTCTCAATCCCCAAATAGAAATCAGTAAGAGAGACAAATTGCAATGGGATTGTAGGACTTACTACCAACAGGTGAAAGCCATGAGCTTTTAGCACTGATTCTACTTTCTGCTTCCAAATAGAATTTTTATCGGAGTTTTTCTAATACTGAATACTAGTGACAGCACTAATGGGTCCCCAAAATATCGTGCACTGGCAAAGAATCATGAATTGGTAGCTGAGAATGTGCATAGGTTGAGACATGTTCTACTTGTTTCCATCTTTTTAGCATTAAGCTCTGTTGGTCAGAATTGAAAGGCATAAAGGGAGCTTTCAAGCTTTTGATACCATATTGGAATCTAATGTTTGAATGTCAAATATGAAAGAGAAAGAAAGACCTTATCAATACCGTTAAATTTATTAGATATTAAATAGATAGTTGTACTAGTTTCTAGAAGCATGTGTATTTATGAGTTGTATCTTTATTTGTATATAATATCTAGAATAGGTCTTTTCATTTTCCCTCTACTCATTATGTTTGGGAACTTCCATTATAAATAAGAGAACCTAAGAGAGAGTTCGAGCTCTCTAATTACATATTTTTTATTTTTTAAGTTGATATCAAAGCAGGTTGATCCCGCTCTGCCTGTCCCTATCCGCCGTCGTCTGCTGCCATTACCCTTTTTTTTTCTCATATGGGTATTGTTTGGTGTGAGACCTCATCTCTATCTCACTATCTCACAATATCTCTCTCCCCTACAATGTAAACATGGCTTAAGGGCCTGCAACCTCCTCTTTTGAATCTCCAATTATAACATTTGAAAAGTTAAATGGAAAAAATTCATTGTCATGGTATGCTTCAATGAAATTTTGGTTCCTAGGTCAAGGTTTCCATGATCACTAGGAAAAGGCGGATGCGATGTTCCATCAAATCAAACTCAATAGTGGAAGAAAATTGATTTTCAGTAATGTGTTCTGGTACGGCAGTAAGTAGAACCAAACATTTTAAGCATCCTCAGATCCTTTGAAACGTGTAATTCCTTTTGAAAAAATGTCCAAAATATCTTTGCAAATGATATCCAACATCTTTATAATTCTGCTAATCAACTAGCCTCCCTCCAACATGCAAATAATGATACGATGTCCTTTATTACTGACGCTCAACCAGTAGTTTGAAGAATTGAAGAATGTCTTGGAAGAAGATTGAGAAAAAAAGACAAAGAGGAAACTAAATAAATTTTATATGGTTATGATTCTTCGGGCAATGAATCCAAATTTTGATCATGTCAGAGATCAAATCTCTTAACTAGTCAAGAAGTTTCTTCCATGCAAAGTTTAACTACACGCCTTCTCCAGGTTCCAACCCTCAAGAACCATCTTAATCTTCCACCATGATTTCTAAGATATAACAATATCATCATTGAACTATGCAACCTCAATATTTAAGAAATATCTGAGTTTGTCAAGATTTTTGGTCTAAAAATGATAACAGAGATGTTGTTTCAACTGAGAAATGTCATGGTTGTCACTATTTGTAAGAACGATATCATCAACATATACTATTAAGTAAATATATCCAGCACTCGAGTGTCGATAAAATACAGAATGATTTGTTTCACACCGAATCATACCAAGTTGTTAAACAACATTGCTAAATTTTCCAAACCAGGCCTGAGGAGACTGTTTTAGGCCATATAAGAATTTGCGAAGACGACATATCATCCCAGAAAACTCCCCCTAAGCAACAAACCCAAGAGGTTGTTCAATATAGATTTTTTCTTGCAAATCACAATTGAGAAAAACATTTTTAACATCCAATTGATAAAGATGTCATTGTTGAAAAACAGTCATGGCGATAAATAAACGAACAGAAGTCATTTTTGTCATGGGAGAAAAGGTATCTCCATAATCTAACCCAAAAATTTGAGTATAACCTTTGGTTACAAGACGAGCTTTGAGACGATCAATAGTACCATCAGGTCCAACTTTAATAGCAAACATCCACCAACAACCAACAATAGATTTCCAAGACGATAACGAGACTAATTCCCAAGTTCCACTATTATGAAGAACACTTAGTTCATCTGTCATGACCTGATGCCAACCAGGATGGACTAAAGCTTTACGGACAGTTTTTGGAATGGTCACAGAAGAAATAGAAGAAAGACATATATAAAAAGGTAATAACAATCGATGATAACTCAAAACAATATAATGGGAAGAGAGATTACTTGTAGAACAGATACCTTTTCAAAGGACAATGGGAAGGTCAAACTCAAGTGTCAAAGGGAGACAGAGTAATTGACACTTGAGTGTAGTCACATGGTGGTGGTTGTGAGCAGTTTCGACGACTATAAATCTGAAGAGACGGTGGAGAAGAAGCTGATTTCGGAGTAGGAACTAATGATGAAGAAGACACAGTTAGAGAGTCACAAACAACAAGAACATTAAATGTACTAGGAGTGTTGACAGGATTGGATGGAGACAGAGGTGAAGATTGACTTTTAAAATAAAGGGAGAACTCATCAAAGGTGACATCTACAAACACAAAATAATGGTTAAGAGGAGAAAAACATTTGTATCATTTTTGTAATCTTGTAAACCCTAAGAAAACACATTTATGTCATCTAGGAGAAAGTTTGTCAAGACTAAGACTGAAATTATGAATAAAACATGTAGACCCATAAACTCTTAAAGGTAAGGAATGAAAAGGTTCATGATGGAATAAAATGGAATAAGGTATTTTATTATCTAAAACTGAAGAAGTCATACGATTAACGAGATAACATGCAGTAAGAAGAGCATCACCCCAAAAATATTGAGGAATCTCTCCATGAATTAAAAGAGTATAAATTGTTTCAATAAAATGTCTATTTTTACGTTTAACTACACTATTTTTTGAGGTATATAAACACAAGAAGTTTGATACAGAATACCGTGAGAAGTCATGAATTGTTTAAAAAAATGAGAAAGATATTCACGACCATTATCAATGCACAAAACTCAAATAGAAACACCGAACTAAGTTTGAATTTCATTAAAAAAAGATTGAAAGATATGAAATAATTCAAAACAATTTTTTATCAAAAATAACCAAGTACATCTGGAATAATCATCAATGAAAGTAACAAAGAATTGAAAACCTAAAGTAGACTTAACGCGGCTAGGTCCCCAAATGTCAGAGTGAACCACGGCAAAAGTGGACGAAGCGCCACATGTGACACTACGAGGAAAGGAAATATGACTATGCCTAATTGACACGACCCATACACCAAACTAGACAATTTGGACAAGGCAAGGACAAGTTGTTATAACTTGGGAAGGTTTGGATGACCTAACTGAGCATGTAGAAGAGAGGGAGACTCCATAACTGCACCAACATGTGTAAAGCGACGAAGATGATAAAGACCATGAGACTCACATCCTGTGTCAATCACCTATTTCAAACTTCTATCCTGTAAACACACAGAATTGTTGGTAAAAGAAACAACACAATCAAGAGAACAAGTTAGACGACTGATGGACAACAGGTTAAAAGAATACTCAGAGACATAAAAAACATTATCAATGGTTAAATAATGGAAAAGTTTAACAGTTCCAACACCATAAGATGATATTCTAGAGTCATCAGTCAGTGTAACAGAAGGTAAAGGATTAGGAGAGGATAAAGAGGAAAACAAAGATTTGTTACCAGTAATATGATCAGTGGCTCCTGAATCAAAAACCCAAGGACTAGGAGAAGATTGGGTCAGACCAACAAAAGATGTATCTGTGTGTGCAACAGACGCAGAATTGATCCTAATACCATTTGAGAAATTGTTGAACATAACAAGTGTGTCGGATGAAACAGAAGGAGGATCCCTAACAAACAAAGGTGGAGAAAGATCGGTCTAAACAACTGCAACAGATGGAGGGGGACAACCATGTAATGCATAACACTTGTCAATCTTGTGACCTAGTTTGCCATAATGTTCACACTCATGTAATGCATAACACTAGTCAATCTTGTGACCTAGCTTGCCACAATGTTCATACTTAGGATGCTCTTTTCCATGTTTGCGAGGGCGAGTCCGGTCATGACAATGAGATACCAACGTAAAAGAATCATTAACAAAAGCAGGTGTATCAGGGTTGGATTTTGCTGGTACACGCAAAAGAGTAGAGCAGGTCGAAGTCAAGGTGAGGACAACCGGGAAACGCAAAATCTGATCACAAATATGTGAATATTGATCAGCAAATCCGTGTAATGCCCTTAGCATGAAGAACTTTGATCGTTGTGCTATCTCGTTGGTAGGGTTGGGGGAAGGAAGCAATAACTCATTGAATTCATGAAAAAGAGCATTAATTTTGCCCATATAATCAGTTATAGAGTCTTGATGTTTAGAGACAATAAAATCTGCAAATTTAGAACAGACACCATAGAGATGTTAGGGAATCATTGGTTAGGGATGGCAAAACGGGCCAGTCCGCCCCGTTTTGGCCCGCCCCGCCTTTGGCCCGCCAAAAACGGGGTTGGGCGGGCTGGCCCGATATAGTCATGACGGGCTGTAGACCTTGGCCCGCCCCGCCAAAGGGCGGGTTGGCGAGCTGGCGGGCTGGCCCGCCATAATTTAGAAAAAATAATTTTTTTAAAATAATTTTTTTTAATAAATTTAATAATAAGATTATTATTTATTTGTCAATAATTCAATATATATATATTATTTCAATTTAATAATATAAATCAATACATTATTTTAAGAAATTATAATTTAGAACAATAATAAAATTTACATAATAATAAATAATAACAAATATATATATATATATAAATAACGTTAAACTTATAAAATTTATATTTTTTATATTAAAAAATTCAAATACCTATATCTTTTTTATTTGATAAAACTTCATATTATTCTTGGTTGAGTAATTCTTATACCTTTAATTCAAGTAATAAGGATAAATATAATCGAGTGCTTAGGATAAATAAGGAGAACAAGAGAGAAGGTTATATTTCGGAAAGGAGAATATTTTACGTGAGAATGAAACTTTTTTATTTCTCTTTTTAAAATTTTTAACTTTATATATTATCTTTATAATTAATTTTATTACAATAAAAAATTACTTTTTTATTAATTAGACGGGTCGCGGTCGGCCCGCCCGTCCCGCGGGTTGGCCCGACGGGTTGGCGGGCTTGGCGGGGCAGGCCAAAGCGGGCTGGTGGGCTGAAAACACCAACCCGCCCCGCCATATTATGGCGGGCCAGCCCGCCGGGCCTAACCCGTTTTGCCATCCCTATCATTGGTGTATAATAACTTGACATATTCCCAGATTTTAGCACACGTCTCGTAGGAACAAAAAATCTGCTTTAACAAAGGATCCAGAGTACCCTTGAGAATCACACATAATTGAGCATCAATGGTGTCCCAACAATCTTCCACAGGAGGAGTGAGAGTAGATGCTTTCGGGGTAAGATGATCATGATACTTATGCTCTTAAGGCATAATCTGACGTCTGATGACCATGTGACATAATTAGGGTCAGTTAACTTATCAATGGATAAATGCACATCAACAAAGTTAGTCTAGACGAAAGGATCAGACGCAATACCGAAAGAATTGGAAGTAGTAAAAGGAGCAGAAAAAGTCATGAAGGGAGGTAGAACAAACCCTAAAAAAATCCAAAGTAGTCCAATCAACTCACGAAGCACAGATCCAAAACAAGAAGACCAAAACATGTCCGTCAAGACTAAATGGTGTTGGAGACAAAGGACGACCAACTCCGATAGTGGTGATCTCAACTATACGGTGGTCACCTGACCGAGATGAGCAAAATCGTATGTCGCTGGTCAAAAATCAACGACGGCTCCGACAGTAGCGACGGTGGTGGTAGTGGATAATGGCGAAAAAATTTTAAAATATCATTAAGCTCTAGATACCATGTTGAATATGAAGAAAATAGAGTTTGAGATTAATCTCCCTTGTATATAAACCACACATAGGATAATCTATTTATAATAGAGAGAGGTGCAACTAAAAAGAGTAACTAAAAAATAATTAGAGAAAATAGAAGCTATTGTTTGATATTGTGATTAACAATATCTAACAATATTTTAACAATATCTAACAGAGCCCAAATTCTCTGATGAGGAATATCAGGAATATTTGAAGTTGAAGTCCACCAACAAAGCACAATCATTAACAACTCCAAATTTGTCAACAACTTGCATTTCCCAATATGTGGATTGTCAAAATCTATAGATCATTGAGTCAGGTGCTTCTGATCATATGTCTAGTAATCCCTCGTTATTCTCGTCTTTCGTTCCCTAAAACTCCTAATTTCATAACTTTGTCTAACGGCTCTAAAGTAACCTCTAAAGGAATTGGTCATGTTTCTATTTCCCCATCTTTAAACTTAAAATTTGTCCTCTTTGTTCCTTCATGTCCCTTTAGTCTCATTTCCTTAAGTCAACTAACCAAATCATTGAACTGTTCATAAACCTTTAATGTCAACTCTTTTTCGTTATATAGGAACGTGGTACGGGTTGACTGATTGGTGAAAGACATAAATCAAGAGGATTATACTACTTTGGGGCTAAGTCATTAGTATCTTGTGTTGCATATTCATCTCCTAAACCTAAACTACTTCATGAACGCTTAGATCACCCTCACTTGAAAAAATTGAAAAAGATGGTTCCTAAACTGAGCAACTAGGGAAACATATTAGGTCTTCATTTTTAAAACATTCTAAATATAGATGTAACTATGCATTTTCTATTATCCATTCTGATATTTGGGGACCTAATCGTGTATCCTCTATTGGTTTCAAATATTTTGTTACCTTTATTGATGAGTTCTCTAGATATACTTGGGTTTATCTAATAAAAGATTGTTTTGAACTTTTGTCTATCTTCTTGTCTTTCCTTAATGAAGTCAAAAATCAATTTGGAAAAATAAATAATGTTCTTCAGAGTGATAATGCCAAAGAATATTTCTCCATAGCTTTTTCCACCACCTTAAAATCATAAGGCATTTTACACCAGTCTACTTGTCCTCACTCACCATAGCAAAATGGAATAGTAGAAAGAAAAAATAGACATTTGGTTGAAATTGCTCATACCTTATTACTCGGTGCAAACGCTTGTTCATCATTGAAGAGATGCTATCCTAACTACCTGTTTTCTCATTAACAAAATACCTTCTTCTTCCCTTAACAATAAAGTTTCATTCTCTATTCTATTTCCAAAAGGAACCACTTTTTCATGTTTCTCCCCATGTCTTTGGTTGTGTATGTTTTGTTCATGATATGTCTCTAGGTTTAGACAAACTCTCAACTAGACCAAAATAAGATAAATCAAATAGAACAAAACATAAGCAAACTAAGAGAAAATGAAGAATAGAGGTAAATGATGATTGAATCCAAAGATAAGAGAACAAAAACGAAGGGAAGAGAGAATGAAGAGCATATCTCTTCACAAAGTGAAATCCGAATGAGAACAAGAACAGAAAAGCCATGGTGGAGCTACAAACAATGGAGGAGTTGCAAGTGGAAACATTGTGGCAAAGTTGCAAACAACAGTGGAACTGCGAAGGAGAACCACATTTCAGACATGAATAGAAGCTACCTCGTTTCAGACGCAAGACCTAAATAACATTCGTGTTGGTTTTGTGCCAAAAACACATCTTACATTGACTCGTTGACTCAAACTCAAACTCACAATTCTAGCCCAAGTTCACTGATTCTACACCAAGTCTATGTAAAAACAAGTTTACTCCTGAGTCTAGCCCAAGTTCACTGATTCTACACCCAGTTTATGTAAAAACAAGTTTAATCATGAGTCTACTCATGACCAAGGAGTAAACACGTAAACTCGTCCAAGTCTACGAGTTAGTCTTAGAGTTTGATAACCACAATTGTAACTATTTGAGATATAGTTAAAAAGATTACAATCACCTACAACAAAGCTATTGTACTAGTTTGGACTAAACTTTGATAAGAGCATCCTTTCCCTTACCTAATGAATGGTGTCCTATAACAGTATACTGTATGGATATTATTGCATTGATTATATAAAAGTGATTCAAAAACAGTAACAAGGATGGAAGGGGTAAAAAGATGTGTTTAAGAATAGGATTCACGATTGAAAGAATATTAAAAGAAGATTAAAAGCCAAAACATAGAGATAAAAGAAGATTAAAAGCAGAAACATATCATTAAAACCGCTATACTACACCTTGTATTACTAGTTAATTCACACAAGTTAGACAGGCATAAAAAGATGAAAAATGTCACTCATATTCCATTTGGCAATACCTTGGCTTTCCGCAATTTTAAACAATTTAAACAGACAAGGCTCAGCATCCGTTTCAACTCACTAATATGACTAGGATGATATATTGGTACTGGTAGCTCAATATATCCAAAGTGACCTGAAAAGTAATATCAAACTCATTTGAATTTCATCCTTTTTACCATTTAAAAGACAGTACAGAAAGGTACAAACCTTCACATTTTCCTGCTTCAGATGTACCACAAGATTCACATCTGCCAAATTCAAGGGGTAGCCCAAGGAAGGGATTTGAGAGCTGACTAGCATGACTAATTGAAGAGTCGCTAATGGATGCAGTACACTATCAAGGCAAAAGCAGAAAATTTACAAACAAAGAGATCAAAGCAAATGAAATACTGAATAGGTCATAACACCCCTTTTTATATTAAAAAAACTGTGATTAAATTTTTGACAGAGAACTTCTGATTTAAAACGGTGCATTCTTTAACTAAATTTAATAAAAACCAAACATGCACAAGCAAGAAGGATCAGAATTTATATACATGTATGTGTGTGTGAGTTTATGTCATTTTTTTTATCCCAAAAAAAAAAAAAACACCATACATATGTGACAACATGAATAAATTTCAAGAAATGTCAACAACAAAATAACAGTACAAATAAGGTCCTTAAAGGAATCCATCAGAGAACACTAATGAAATCTAGAAAGAATTTCCTAAATCCCAAGCTAGCCACCATTCATCCTTAGCATTGCCACTGATCATAACAATATTGTCCAAACTTAATACAAGATTATCTCATTTTTGTTTATTAATAAAAGAGATGCTAACTGAATATTACAAAGACCTCAACTGAAAAATTGAATACGTTTGAGCTTACAATTTCCTGGCGTGTAGCCATGCCAAATTTGATTCCAACAACCATCCCATCTAAAACACTTGAGGGAGGATTATCTTCCATTACTTTCAGAGTCAATTACCGTGCCTGCTGACAGAAACCTCAAAGTTAGTCATTACTTGTAAACCTTACAAATCTTTAACAGAATTACAGAGGAAAAGCAATAAATAAATCAATTGAACAGAAAAATATTAGAAAGGTCCATAACTTCAAAGAAACATTATAGCACATGTTCCCTTTAGACACTCTCCTGAATCCAGCCCATAAAAATTAGGTCTGCAGAGACAGCACAGAATGAAAACATCAGGCATGTCCAATAATAACTGACCACCTTGAATGCCCGAAGGGATTACTAGATATCACTATTTGTTTTAGATCTTTTAATATCAACTTGTCAATCACCCTATGAAATGCCATTCTCACTTAGAAGTTCTATGGCCTTAAGAGTAGTCCCATGTAAAAACAACAAATTATGTCAAAGGCAATCCTCAACCAATTCCCATCAAGGCACTTGAAAAACAGAGAGACCAGGCTGAATTGTGTTTCTAAACACCAAGGCCGGACTATAATTCTATACTAGAATGTGTTAAATACTTACAGGTTACAATTACAACCACAACTACACCAGTAATTATAATTAGTATTCCCAAAAAAAGTACTTCTTAATGATAAGATTAAATGCCTTTACATACATATAAATTCACTTATCCACTTCCACTTTACCAAAGAACACAGTCAGCTAAGAATTCCTCTAACTAATATAAGCTTAAAATCATCTAACCCAACCAAAATCATTCAATCTTAAAAAATTAAAATATCTGACCCAACTCCTTAAGCAGGTTAAAAATGCTCCTACCGACCACCACATCACCCTGAGCTACTTATTAAAAACTCGTTTCACCCAAAGAAAAGGTGGATGATGACAAATTCAAATTTCAAGAAAACAAAAACCAAAAAATAGTTAAAAAAACGAGAAGAACGAAAAGTGCAAAAAATATTCCTAAAAATGAAGACCTTCCAAGAAACAGAGCAACTCAAACTAAAACCCAACCACAATCTCAACGCAAGCAAACACGAAAAACATAAACAAAAATTAAAACCAAAACAAAAACCATGATCCTTCTTCTCTACCTGTTTCTTACCTCAAAAGCTAAACAAGCGTACTTCAGTTCGAGAGTCTCGTTTAGATCAAAACAAATTCCTAAACCCTAGAAAATCCACAGGAACCTGCAAATTAACATACACAAGTAAATAACACAATCGACACGCGCGAAAGAGAACTAAACACATTGCATGAATGAAAATGCAGAATAGCGGAGACACGAAATCGAGGTACCTCATCGGGCAAAAACAATCTCCCGCGAAATAAGCGCGTGAGAGAAGAGGGTTCCAAGGGAAAAGGAAAGAACCGAGGAAGAGGGAAAACTGAGAAATGAAACGAGAGTGAGAGTGAGAGTGAGAGTGAGACTGGGAAATGAAAAAAGCATGAAAGGAATTTAAATTTTTTTTCTTTCACAATATAATTTCATTTTAATTTATTTATTATTTTATAAGTATGAAATAAATTACACTTTTTCTCTTACAATAATTAATTTCATTTTTACTTTTAATATTTTTAATTGCATTCCTGGCTCCTGCAGAGACAGATGGTTTTTTTAACTGAAGAGACACATGGTGTTGGAAACTGGTTGCACGAAGTGAGGTGTTTGGCTCAAATGACAGGTTTGTCCTCATTGACTATTTGCATCTGACTCAAGTTGAACGGGGATTTCTGGGTACTGTTGGAATTACAGTGATGTTGGTTATAGTGAAAAAGGGCGACACACAAAATTGGCGTGAACCCAGTCACTTCCTTCATAAATGAACTTAATTGTAGTTAATGAAATTTCACAGCAACTAATGAAAGATGTTAGTCATGCTTTATCCTGACAAAACTAATAGTCCCACGTCACGACAGAATATTTCAATCGGTTCCGTTCATTCTGTATAACAAGTAGAGTTTTGCGGTCAAGAGTGAATGCGAATAGAAGGGCAGAGTCGCATAATTTGTATAATTTTTTAAATAATTACGTCATAAAATTAAATTTTTAAGTTATGTATAATTAAAATCTTAAAAATTGTTAAAAAAATTGATAAAAGTTATTTATTAAAATATTAAAGTAAAATATTAATTTAAAAAATCTTAAAAGAAATCTTAAATAATATAATAAATTTAAAAATTTATTAATTATTGCATCAAGTAACTTAAAAAAAAACTTTTAATTGTTCTTTAAATAAATTTTATTGTAACGATATTAATTATGAGTTATTTAAATATAATGTAAAAAAAATCTATAATTTATAGTTTTTCAGATGTAAAATCATTTATACAAATTATTTTGTTGAGAGATCATTATTTATCGTATTAATTATGTCATTTATGTACCTAATTAAGATTTTACACTTCATTTATTAGTATAAATATTCTGTTATTTATTTTTTAATAATTTATATAAATTTAAATAATGATAATAATAAATAAAATTATAATTTTTATTTGTATGATATATAAGTCATTTCTAATAATATATAATATGTAAAACAAAATAAAAGATTGATATGTGATAATAATAACAACATATAATTATTATTTTTATTTATATTTTATTATATAATATAATATATAATGATTATTTTATTTAGTATTATATAATATAATATAAATTTACTGTATTTATATATTAATATATACAAATCATATATATATATATATATATATATATATATATATATATATATATATATATATATAAAAGTGAGTTGTCTATCAACCAAGACAAATTAAAATGATATAAATTAATCTGTTATATAAATTAACTACAAATATGATAAATAATTTATTCATTTAAAATTTACAAATTAGAGATTTAATATTTTATTTTTACCATTATTTTTTAGTAATTTAAATTTTTTAAATAATAATAAATAATTATCTTCTATTTTATATATAATATGTAATGAGGTTTATGTAAAAAATTGTAAAAGATTGATATGATAAAAATACATTCGTATAAATATTATTTTATTTATAGTTTTTATATAAAATATTATAATTTTCAAAATATATATATATATATATAGATAAACTAAATGAGATGATAAAAAATATTTAGAAATTAATTAATCAATCTTATCTAATTGCATATACTTAACATTCGATCCCATTTAACTCATGAATTTTGATATTTTATAAATTAAACTCACATCTCTTTAAAATGTGGGTATATTTTTATTTTTATTATTATATAATATAGAACTAAGGGGTAAGAGTAAGACTTTAATCTTTGGTGACACAGTGGATATCATTATTTCGTCTAGGAATGAAAGTGTCATAATCTTATATTTTCTATAATAATATTATTTAATTATCATATTTTTTGCTTTAAAACTTTAGTATGTCCCAGTTTTATCCTTAAAATGTATCTTAATGGATTGAGAAAGAATAGTATATATAAGTTATTACTACTCTTAACTCTTAAACGATGTGAAACTCACAAGTATATAAGAATATAGTCATCTAGTCGAGGATTACGCAATAAAAGAGAACTTGAGATTCTAGTCTCAGTCTCGTAATGTTTCATCCAAAAACAATATGATAATATCATTAGGATCAATCATTCTTATATCATAATCCATCACGATTTTATCTTAAAATGCATCTCAACTAGAAAAATTGTTTAGTCGCAAATCTTATACGATGTGAGACTCGTAAACGTATTAAAACATGATACGTAGTGAAAATTTTAAAGATATAATATAAAAAAATCTAACATTTTAGTCTCGACTCTCCCATTAGACGTTAATGTTCTATTTAAAAATGATGTATTATGTCCAAATATATAAAACTTATGAGTGTATTATGAAACATGTGTTTTTTTTTTTTTAAATCATTTTATGACATCCTTATTTTTCATATAAAACTTGGAAAATAGTATAATTAATTTAAATAAAAAATGTATATATATAGTTTATAAATTATATAAATATAACCATAAACATAGATTATTAGAAGATACAATTTTTTTAAAGCATTTTTATTTTATATAAATTAAGATCTTAATCAGCAATGGTTTAAGATATGTTTATTAGTAATCTAGAATGATTATGATTTTGATATTTGAACTAATTTATAAATATTTATATATTTACATAACACACTTTAATATAAATGTTCAAACAAAGGAAAGACTCACGGTTATAAACAAATGAATGGAAGGATTTTCACAAGTAAATAAATATTGTTGTTGTAGTAATTTTCTTTTATAAAAAAGGGTAAAACAAAGAAGAAGTGTTGATTCATATTATTCATTTAATCAAACCTTTAAATAGGTAAATGCAAATTATTAAGTATTAGAAATTAGGAGCCCACTACTAACAGAAAACAAAACTATAGGGGAGTAACAAAAATATCTCTAAAAATATAATCATTAACCAACTACTTGAACTTTAACTTCTGCAACTCTTCGCACACATATTCACATTCTTAACAAACTCTCCCTTAAACCAAAATATTTGGAAATGTTTTGTTTAAAAGATGATAGTATTAAATTGATGGATCTTCTAGAGTGCAAACACCTTCTTGATTTTTGAAAAACAACTATATTTAGAGATTTAGTGAAAATATCAGCAACTTGGTCTTCACTTCTACAATAAATCAAATCAATGACTCCATTATTTGTGAGATCTTTCAAATAATGGTACTTGACATCTATATGTTTTCTTTGTCCGTGTAACACAAGATTTTTGGAAAGTTTGATTGTTGAATTATTGTCACAATAAATTGTTATTGGTTGTTTCTTTAATGACCATGAAATAGCCCCTGAGCCCAACATAAATGTATATCCTAAATCCAAATAAATATGTTTTTTCACCTTTTTTATAGAGCAGATCATAACTAGCAGTGTCTTTCAAACATCGAAGTATTATTTTTGTAGTTAAAAGATGAATTTCCTTTGGGCACTCCATAAACCTGCTAATGAGGCTTACAACATGCATAATGTTTGGCCTTTGGCAGTCAAATACAT